AGAACGTAGGGCCCCATTTTCTCTATTTCCTGCATTAAATTAGTACGTATAGTAGTAGTGTAGTAGTGTATGCTAAGCATACAGTTTTCCCACAATGCTAAGAAGGCTGATACCACGGTAGTTTCTACAATCCTGCTGCGACCCTTTTCCTTATATATTGGGACTATCACAACTTTGCACCAGTCTTCCGGTGCCCGCTTCAGTTCCCAGCATAAATTAAACAAGATGTACAGCAAACCTGCCATCACTTCTTCTCCAGCCCTTAGCATTTCGAATGAAACTCTATCATATCGGGCTGCCTTACCTGCTTTTCATAGCTTTCATTATGTTATCTTTACTTATCTCCCTAGCTCTTTCCTCTTTTTTTTTGGAATTTTTATTTCATTTAGTTCACACCTTGTCTTCTCACTCATAAACACGCTTTCAAAATATTCCTTCCATCTATTTAAACTCAAAACTTTACCGTTCAGAACACAGTCATTCTCGTCTCTTAAAGCATTCATTCTAAGCTGTTTTGAATGTAAGTTTGGCAGTTTTTACGAGTTTTCACTACATTTTTTTTTAGTATTTGCCTGGAGGTTATCCGATATTTTTCTATTATTCTCATCCGTTCTTGCTTGCTTTTTCCTTTCGCCTACTTCTTTTTCTCTCTTATTTATATGTCTAAAGACTGCCTTTTTCTTTCAATATCATTATTCGCACCGCCAGAATTAGCAGCTTTTGTTGCTAGTAAATCTAGCCATGCTCTCTTCTTTGCTTCAACTTCCATACGTACCTCATTATCACACCATAAAGTTTTATTTTTCCTTTCATTCGTTATCTTACTAACACCACATACTTTGGTAGCTGCATTCACTAAAACTTTTTTAACATTTTGCCAAAATTCTCCAAGTCTAACTCGTTCATACATAATTCATCCAAACCACTTATATTTTCATTCAGTATACATTTGTACTTGTTTTTCTCACCTTCATCTTGTAACCTTTCTGTTCTAATTTGCTGTAACGCAGTGATAGACACAGATGTCCGATATCGTCAACGTCCGAATAGACCATCAATTCCGCATAAAAACATAACTTTGATTAAAGTTGGTAAGAGTTATCTCGCTAAGACTTAGTGGTCAGCAACCTCAGAGTCTACATCACCTGAGGAAGCTTCGTGTAGAGACGAAATACGTGTCGTATCAACGTCGATGGTTTGTCTTTCCTAGTGTAGTGGTGTTAGAAGTAGTGGTTAGGGGATTAGTGCACGCAATTGAGGGAAGGGGGAGGTGCTCTTCAAACTAGGTAACACATCATTTTATTTTATTGAGCGGATATGGACAGGGTAATTCTTACCATCACCATCATTGCAACCCTTCACAAGACCACTGCTGAACATAGGCCTCCCCCAAGGTATGCCACAAAGCATGGTCCTGAGCCACCTGCATCCATCGACTTCATGCATGTCGTACCAAGTCGTCACTCCATCTAGTGGGGGGTCGCCGTACACTTCGCCTACCGGTACGAGGCTGCCACTCGAGAACCTTTTTTCCCCAACGGTTGTCGGTTCTTCGAGCTATATGGCCGGCCCATTGCCACTTCAGCTTACTAATCCGTTGGGCTATGTCGGTCACTCTAGTTTTGCGGATATCCTCATTACTAAGTTTGTCACGCAGAGAAACCCCGAGCATAGCCCTCTACATAGTTCGCTGAGCGACTTAGCTTTCTCATACGGCCAGCAGTGAAGGACCACGTATCAGTTCCACAGGCTATCACTGGCAACACGCACTGGTTGTATAGTCTCGTTTTCAGGTTTGAGGTATAGCTGACGAGAGCTGTGTCGTAATTTCCCGAACGCTGCCCAACCGAGTTGAATCCGAAGTTGGATTATAGTCGGATTATTTGTCTCAGGTGAACGTACTCGTCAACAACTACGAGCTTAGCGCACCCAACAACTACCGGCATAGGTGTGACATGGATATTAAACATGATCTTTGTTTTGTCCATTTTCATCTTAAGACCTATCCGTTGGTAGACACTATTAAGGTCAATGAGCATAGTGCTTAGGTCCTACAGCGATTCTGCTATAAGGACTATATCGTCGGCAAATCGAAGATGATTGATGTTAATACCGTATCCTTTCCAGTCCAGTAGCTTGAAAATGTCTTCCAATGCAGCAGTGAAGAGTTTCGGGGATATAACGTCACCCCGTATTACATCTCTAAGCTCGAGGTTCTGTACTCGGATAGCCATTGTAGCCCTACTGTACAAACACTTCAGCACTTCGATATACCGACAGTCCACTTGGCCTCGCTGAAGAGAATGTAGTACCGCCCAAATTTAGACGGAATCGAAGGCATTCTCATAGTCCACATACGCCGGGAAAAGTGGCAGATTGTACTCTTCGGACGTCTGTACAATTTGCCGAAGGGCATGTGTGTGGTCTATGTTGCTAAATCCTTTTCGAAAACCGGCTTGTTGTCAACCGGCTGGAAGTCATCGAGTCTGCGTGCGAGACGAATCGTAATGACTCTCGAAAACAGTAAGTAGACGCAGCTCAGAAGGGATATCGGTCTGTAGTCTTTCTTGAAGAAAAAGACCACCGCACTTCTGCTTGACGCCTCGGGAGTAGTGTCCCCAAGTGGGACAGAATTAAAGAGACAAAGGACTTCCAGTACCAATTTTCCACTCGCTTTCAAAAGCTTCGTTGTAATTCCATCCTCGCCTAGGGTATTACCGTTTTTAAGGTGCTGGAGAGCCATTCTAATCTCGCTCAGACTGACGTTCGGGATATCGGAATAGTGTCGGATAAGACTTGCTTTTGGATTGTTATTCACGCCTGCGTGTGGCTCCGACGATGACGTGTACAGCTGCCCATAGAACCTCTCAATCTCACTCAAAATCTCAGGTGTCCCGGAAACGATACTGCCATCCTGAGTGATTCGTCCTCTCTGTGCAGAGATGAAAGAGACAGAATATCTGTTCGACTGCCTTGGCGAGAAATCGGAACTAGACAATTAATTCTGCTGATGTGCTCTGACTTTGCTTTGGCAATAACTTTTTTGTAGGTTTCGGAAGCGGAATTGTATTTTTTCTAGGAGTTTTGATATTTTCATCCCGGGACGCTAATTCATCAGCCCAGCCGTAATTGCGTAATGCAATTTTACAGGACTAAACAAACCAAAGCTGGAATCTGTGTTCAATTCGCCGACCGATAATGTCATACACGTTGCTAGCCAACACTTTACATGTGCGTTGGCCGTTGAGTAGCACCGTACTCTGGATTAGATAGTGGCCCTAAGAGCTTAAAGAAATATCAAAGGAAATCTGTCAGCCGTCCGGATGAGAGGTCAGCAGGAAGTCCAACAGGGAAGATATAGCCCTCCACTTCTAGCATGCTATGCCAAGATAATGTCGTAAACATATCTCCCCGCATAATCGCTAGTACGAGAACCACGCTATTCAGCGTGGAGGGCGTGGCAATCGCCAAGATCACGATCATTGCGGAAGAATTGTATCACGGAACTCGTAATGAGTCAGTTGGTGTCAGTATTACCGATATGAGACTAATAAAGGAACTCGTGGACGCGAGAAGCGTCGAAGCGATCTAAGCGCTGCCAAAGGATGGACAGTTCCGTACCTTCAAGACATACGAAGGGTCGAGAACAGATATTTTCTGTAACGTGCATGCGAACTCCGGCCCGATGTATAAATGAGTATTCAAATTTGTATCCCGGTAAGATAGTTAAATAGGATAGTTAAAAGGTATCAACCGGACATCAGAATATACCAGTGTATCAGTGAAAAAAGCAAGGATGCCTTCGCCGTCTCCAAATGGTACTCAACAGCGTTAAAATTGAAGCAAAGTCCCCTGATGTTTCAGAAATTCACTATGAGTGTGGCTGGAGGCGCTTGCATATATTTCTGTCGTCGCAGAGCTCGTGACGCTGGCCAGTGACGTAGCGCCTAATCATACTTTACTTTTTCTTTGTTCTCAAACTGTGGGCGGTGGCATTTTCAGTCTGTTGTTTATGTTGTCACTCGTTTGAGAGATTTGTTAATAACGCGGTGAACATCTTGTATTTTAATATAAATATCTCTTCTGATCTATAAAGAGAACGTTTTTCTAGTAGACGTTTATAAATGTCTATGTTAGTATTTGATTGGGATGATATTTCCGTCATGAACGCAAAAATATTTAAGACTATAAATTATAGTCAAAACAGCAAATAGAACGCGATGTGTATGAACTTAAGTTATTTTACATTATTATATACTATCTCTCACGGGTAGTTGTTGTTAATAACCATTCGTTTTTTTTTTAAATTAAGTACAAATATTAAGCATATGTTTGAACAAATAGACGTAAAGTCGATTGTTAATATTAGATAACGGGGATTTATGGCTTATTAAATCGCAAAATAATATTGTGTATATTTTACCTATTTATTAATCAATCGTGGGATTAATGTCTAAAAAAAGCTTTTCTTCCCTGACACCAATATATTTGCTTAGAAATATCTGCAAGAAGAAAGACTAGTGAGGATTCAGCAATAACCATCAAAATTGAAAAAGTTCAGGTACGCGCATTGTTGTGACAAGTCATATATACAGAACTCAATACAGCAAGCAGTTTCATTTTTTATTTTTATAGAATATGGGTGACAAACGAGCACAGGCCACCTGATGGTGAGTGCTTGCTGTGGCCCATGGACATCTATATTTATCCTCGATTAACAATCAAAATACAGTTGTGTTGTCACCCCTAAGAACTAAAATGGACTCGTTACCAGTAACAAGGGACTCTAGTTCTTTACACTCACCATACAAAACACAGCAGCATTAAGCTGCTATTTCATGCCGATATTTTGAGAGCGTAGTTCTTTCCCGCTCAAGCCGACCCACTCGTGCTACCACCATAACATAGCTGCAGGAAAACTCTACGACATATGTACTAGTTATAACAAACATCATAAATGTTTTGTCAAACACCACAACTGTAATAATTTCCAAGCGACCATGTTCACGAGGTATGATCCCAGGATCACATATACCTATGACAAAAAAATTAACATGCGTAGTAGCGTAAAATTAATATGCGTAACATCGCTTAAAGATTAACAGAAATACAAAGGTGTATCAAATTAACTTGCATGTTAAATAAATTAGTAAGTCAACGGCGTCAATGTGTCGCCAATATTCAATTCGATTAGGACGTTGAGCGCCTAAACCCACCAATAAGTATGTGTTATATAGTCCCCCGGCCTATTACCTGGCAATTTCACAGAACAATCTACGTCGGATCGCGTCAACAGCACACAACCATGTGACACACATCGACTTTGTAGCCGAGAGGGACGGCACTTCCCGCGATTTGTTTACTCAGTGTAGCTTTCCCTTTCGCCCCTTGAATGTGTGCGTGGCCATCTGGCGGGTGGCAGTGTGCGCCTGTGTGCGGGTCGCCCCCACACCGAAGCGCACCCCGTTTCGGGGTAGCCGTGTCTCTGTGTGTGTGACCCAGTCGAATAAATCTAATGTAATACACACAAACATATTGGTGGCACGGCGTGTCATTTTTACGCTTGTGTTACTGCTACTTGGGGTTCTCTATGCGCGATGATATTATTATTTTGACGATTACGGCATCCTTTATGCTTACAATAAAATAATTAATAAGGGATGAAGTATAATGTTGCGCGGCAGTTACCGATCGGTATCAGTACTTTCATTCACTCTTTAGAAAGGTTACGATAGAGTTCATTAGGACGTTTTTATTGTGAAAGCGTGTATTGTTTTAACTATATTTCCTATTCAATTATTGTATTGTTTTCTTAGTTGTAATTAACAGCTCATGTGTTTTAAAAATTCTATTCATTCTAAAAGGTCATAAGTAAGTTTTGACTCTTTGTAATTTGCAAAACTTTTTGCTAATAAGGAGAACCTTTGCCCAGCAGTGTACCGTCCACAATGGGCAATCAGCAGTATACTATTAATAATGATGATGTATTTCTTACATTAACTGTTTACTTAAATAATAATTTAAAAAAGCAGGATCGTATTATTAACGGTTTGCGAAACAACAGCCTATGATTAGAGGCCCTAATTAAGAGCTACGATTATTAAATATTTTTTATTAAAGCAATCGACATTATATAATTTTATAAGTTTGTGAAAAAAGATATACAATGTATTCTTAATTAACTTACAATATTTAACTTAATAGTTTTTAGTTTTTTATAGTACTTGCGGAATATTTACGAAATTCGTCATATTGCGGGCTCAATCTATAGGCAGCAAAACAAAAACTTGTTGAATTATCAGCTTAATCTGTGACGGAACAGTTGACAAGGAGCTCAACCCCCGTTCAGTTTAACAATTACGCGGCAGGCTCATTGTGATGCGACCCCACCTCTCCATCCATTGTGGACACCACTATACTCGACCCAGCCAAAACAGGCTCTGTATCACTCCTACCGGAACCCCTTTCCCGTCTAATACGAAGCAAAACTTAGAGGCAGGGGAGGTCAAGTTACGCTGGGGAATAATATACAAATATTATTATCCAGCCCGTTCACAAATATCAATAACGTATTACAACATTGGGACAGATTTTAAAAGTTAATAACGAGATTCATTTGGCGTTGATTAAGATGGCGGCAAAACTCCTATTAAATTGAAATTCACTAATCTACAAATCGGAATAAATGAATTTCAATCGGAATATTATTTCATTTTGTCATTATTTATGCAAAGATTAATTTATATTAGCTAATAATTACAGCTTCTATGAAGTCGTTGCTCTCTGCAACATATATGGTAAAATATTTTACTCTCATGTTGACTTTGTTTTGTTTTGTTATCCTTAAACAATAATATTAAGATTTCGCAAAAAATTGTTTCAATCACATTGCAGTTGTTTGTGTATACCAATTAGAGCAATTAGATGATTCCGTTTTTGTATATTCTAATAAAATATTTAGTTTACGGTTGCAAAAAAAAATTTAAAAATTTGGATCATTCAATCCAAATACACAAAAGTTGAAACGATGAATAAAAAACTTAAACAGGCAGAAACTGAAACAAAGTTCTTAATGTTATAATATATTAGACAATATTGATGTAAACTTAAAGATAACAATAATAATAATAATGTCCTCCAGACCGAATTTCAGCCACGGTGGCCTGCCTCAACGGAGGCTACCCAACGGCGCAGGACAGGATTATAGTGCCCAAATGTATGCGCAAGCACAGGTGCACTCTATATTCCCTCACTCTCATAATCCGATGGGACGGTAAACCGACACGACCGGAGAGAGATCAGGCGCAGGACCAACGGCTTTACGTGCTTTCTGAGGCACGGGGGTGAGACACCGCCAACTTCCTGACTGCGGGTAACTATTGAGAATTTCTTGACGGAAAAACTCAATAATTAATTTTTTGGCCCGACCCGGGATTCGAACCCAGTACCTCATGATCAGCAGTCACACTACTACAACCACAAGACCAACGAGGCAGTCAACTTAAAGATTCATACATACATCAGATATTCCACAGTAAGATAATCCACTATCCCATATCATCCCGAGGGCGTCGTAAGAGGCGACAGAGGGCATTGAAACGGTAGACAAGTAATAGCATCTTCCCGTTAACTATTCAAAATAATAAAAACTGCTGCTACCTACTCGCCTGCCAAGTGTGGCTACTATAGCAAAAATCACCCGCATATCCTTTGAGGTAATCTATGGACACCTATGTTCAGCAGTGAAATTTTGATAGGCTGAATTGATGATGGTTAGATACATGAATGGGTGATAATAATATGATAGAATAGTGATGGTTACTTCGAAGGATTTATTAAAAATTTTTTAGTATTTTTTTAAATACATTTTTAAAAGTTTAAACGAAAGCGAACCCACCTTTCTTAACTCGCATTACAAATGATTTGTCTTTCAACCTTACTTATACTATGTTAAATACAGATCTAACTAAAGAGACAATATCTCCGGCGTTAAAAGGCTAGCCCGAGAAGATTAGAGGAGGGGACGAGGTGCGCCACCCTCCCTGCGAAATTACCACATTTGAAGGGAACAACTTTTTATGAGAAATAAGCCGCTATGATTCTCGAATTATACGCGAATCGAGTGGTGTGAGTGCATTACACTGAGCTGCTGTATCGATTTAACAACAGTCTACGGATTCTAAACAGTTTTCTTGAAAATATCAAAGTTTTATATAAAATGAAATCTGTTAGCTGTTATTAATTGATGGCTTATTATAGATGGTTGTTATTCTTTATTTAACAAATGTATTTTCACATTAGCTCCACTAATAATATTTTTTTGGAAATCAGACATAACTCTTTGCAATTTGTTTTTGTTTTGTTCCATCATAATTAATAATAATAATAATTAATAATAATAATATCAACAACTATCGGAGATACATCCTAAAGGATGGCACTGTCGTCGTCTGTCAAGCTTGTCGCCATCCCGGTGAGTCACTTAGGCATATCATCTCCGTTTTCCTTTCTAACTCTGAGTACTTGCACAGACACAACCTAGTAGCCAGAATTCTACACCAGGAGCTCGCTCTGAAATACAGTCTCGTGGATCGGAAATTGCCGTATTACAAGTACTTGCCAGAAACCGTGCTCGAAAATGATCGCGCCAGGCTCTATTGGGACCGGGCCATCATAACAGACAGGACTTCTTGCGAATAAACCTGATATTGTGCTGATGGACCGGGCACAGTCAAGGATATTTTTGGTCGACATTACCATTCCGTATGACGAGAACCTCGTGAAAGCCGAAACAGATAAGCAAACAAAATACCTGGACCTGGCTCACGAGGTGACCGACATGTGGGGTGGACTGCAGACCGAAATTATTCCTGTAGTCGTCTCTGCAAACGGGCTAATCCGAGTCAGCCTCTCGGGTCATCTTAGGCGGCTGGGTCTACGTGGCGGACCGCTCCAGGCTCAAATACAGAAGGTGGTGCTCCTCGATACAGCCCGCATCGTCCGCCGGTTTCTTTTCCTTTCCCCCTAACCCTCGGCCGTTTGGTCTCCCCTGCCGAAGGCTTCCATCTGGTTGGATCTTATTTATTTATGTCTTTTTTGTATTTATATCATTTTATTAATATTTATGTATATTTATCGTTCCATTTTAATTTATAATTATATATTTATAGAACCCAATCAGATGAGAAAATTATATAGATACCCCAAAAATAATAATAATAATAAAAAGGCGTAGGGAAGTAACGACCCCATCGCCCGCTGACGGTTACGTGACAAAACCGCTACTTCAGCGCAGTCAGTCAGCGCCAAGAGGTGTTAGTGCCACCATGCAACGGCACCGGGTCTGGGCGTCTTCCGTTAAATGACGCCCACAAAAATGGATGATGGAATTGACTAGAATGCGCAAAGGGCCGCTGCCTGGAGGACGCCAGGGCGCGTCTGGACCTGGCGCTGGACGCGACAGCATGCGAACCGACAGCCAACGAGCGCAAGGTGCTGTACGATCACCCAGTAGCCGTGTCGGCAGGGTCTTCTCGGTCCCAGCAATCGGCACCCGCCACTGGTGGAGCACGCCGCATACGTTGGACAACTCAAATTAACATCAACGCATTGCGGGCGTATTTTAGGGCGAAAGGGGGAGAAATTGGAGGTTTTGCGTATCGGGCAAGGATGCATCGACTTTTTGCTGAGCTGGAGCCATCTGTGACCGTCACCGGGCAAAACCTGGCAGACCTAGTTCGGTATATCTTGCGCTCAAATACTTATTTGATGTCATCGAACTCGAACGGCTACGACGTGAGGCTGTTCCTTCATCGGATGAAAATGCTACGGCTGAGGATGCGGCGCCACAACTTGCAGAGCAACCGGCAAACGTGGATGCAGTCGTGAATACCCCAGTTTTGGTTGATTCAAACGATGATGGAACAGTCGCCCAGGAATTGGAACTGGAGCAAATGAGGAGTACATTGGATGAGGCGATTTTGGAAACGCGCAGTACGCCTCTCGAAAATCGACCGCGACTTCCCCGCATAGCCCTCAGCAAGCGGAATCGGGCTATCGTGAGGGCTCTGAACCCAATGCTGGTGACGTATTTGGAAGCCAGCCGGGATCTTTGCAAGACGGACTCAATTCTCTTTGGTGCCGCACTGGCAGTCTGCCTTATTAAGGCGCCAAACATTCCACGACTGGACGTACTACTGGACAAAGTAGTGCTATCCCAGCCTGGAGAACAAGAATTGAAGAACGTATCGCAAAGGCTAGGGCCCTCATTGGCAGACTGATATGCTTCAGGTCAGGCAATACCAGGCCAAGGATTGTGCGCACCGTCAGTATGGCGTTTGCTGGGACAAATGTTAGTTTGTCCCAGCCGGATATAATGCAAAAACTGACGGAGCGCATAGACGACCTGAAGCAGAGAATCGCTGCTTGGGGAAAGCGGATTCGGCGATATACCGAGAGTTCGACACGGTTCAACCAGAATCGTCTCTTCCAGAGTGATCAGAAGAGGCTCTATAAATCATTGGGGCGACCAATGATAAGTGGAACGGACCCAGTACCGAATCAGACCGACACGGTCGCATTCTGGCACAGCCTGTGGTCAGAGTCCGTAATCCACAACGAGGGCTCTTGGACGGAAGTTGTGGCGTGTCAGTGTGCGAGTATTACGCCTATGGACCCCGTCATCATAACGCCGGATGACGTAGCTGAGGCGGTCCGTAGGGCCCCGAACAGGAAAAGTCCGGGGCTTGACGGGGTGCATCACTACTAGCTGTAGGGGTTCATGGTGTGTCATGCTGTGCTCACTCGACAGTTTCAAGAGGCTCTCAACTAGAAGTCGCTCCCAAGCCTCTTCACTACTGGGATCACTAATTTGGTTCCTAAAGATCAGGGTACCACAGACCCGAGCAAATACCGCCCCATCACGTGTCTACCGACCATATACAAGACACTAACATCCATTTTGAGCGCGAGAATCACTCGTCACCTGGACTCAAATCAGGTGATGTCGCGCGCTCAAAATGGATGTCGGGGCGGCGTTCGTGGAACCAAGGAACCACTCCTTATTGACGCGGTCATTGGCAAAGTGGTGAAATGCAACCGTTGGAATTTCTCCGCCGCCTGGATAGATTACAGAAAGGCATTTGACTCGGTGCCCCATACATGCCTAAAGAGGGTCCTCGAGCTGTACTAGATTGACTGTACAGTTCGAGACATCCTCGAGCAGTGTATGGGGCAGTGGAGTACGATCCTCTGTCATCTAGGCGAGCGGATGACGGCTACGGAAAGCCGCATAAGGATAAGAAGGGGTATATTCCAGGGCGACTGTCTGAGTCCAATCTGGTTCTGCCTCTCTTTGAACCCTCTCAGTACTTTACTGGAGGGCTCCGGGAGGGGATTTCATCTTCGGGAAGGAGATACAAAAGTGACCCACTTTTCTATATGGATGACCACACATTATTCGCTTCCAGTTGCTCCCATCTTATGGAATTGCTAAACTTCACTTGTGAATTTAGCAATTCTATTAGAATGGAGCTGGGGACGGATAAATGTGCGGTCCTTCATGTTGAAAGGGGAAGGGTTGCTAAATCTGAGGGCGTAGACTTATCTATGCCCGTCAACTTAAGGACCCTTTCCGAGGCTGAAACATACCGATACCTGGGTATGTCACAGTACATCGGTATCGATGAGGCTGGTATGAAACAGTCAGTTTGCGACGAGTTTTATGCACGCTTGACCAAAGTGCTTAACAGCCTTTTGTCCGGTGTGAATAAGACACACGCATATAACGGTTGGGTCATGCCTGTCCTCATGTATACCTTTGGAATACTCAGGTGGAGTCAGACTGAACTAAACGCCCTGGATAGAAAATTCCGCACTACAATGACGTCCCATAGGATGCATCATCCGAGATCGACGGTAATGAGGCTGTACTTGCCGCGAAAGCATGGTGGGCGTGGCTTCTAGAGCGCGCTCACCATGCATAATCGCGAAGTGTGCAGCCTCCGTGATTACTTCCTAGCAAGATCGGATGATTCATTCTATAATGACGTCATTTCTAGTGATAAAGGACTTACCCCTCTATCCTTAGCCAACGAGCAATGGCAGGACCCGGCAGTACAGAGTATTTCCGACCGGGAGACCGTATGGAAGGAGAAGGAGCTCCACGGGAGGTACTACAGGGCTCTACATGAGCCCCACGTAGATACAGCCGCCTCCCTAAACTGGCTACGTTTCGGTGACCTCTTCGGGGAAACCGAGGGTTTTGTCTGTGCAATACAGGATCAGGTTTACATAATGATTTCTTATATTTACGCGAACACTACACATGATTAAAACTACTTTTACGGATTTTATCGCGTTTAATTTTAATTTTAATTAATTTTATTTTTAAATCCCGACGTTTCGGGCGCTTTCCAGCACCCATGGTCACGGGGGACTGAGATGACTGACGTCCCGATGTCATTGTTATACCCGGAGTACCTTCAGCTTTTTTAATTATTGTTTATGGTCCGATCTATGCAAAATGAACTGACTATGTCTTGAGGTCTTGCAGTGGTATGCTTGGGTTTAGTTTTAATTTTATTGATTATAGGATCCCAAGCAGGTGGTAGTACCCAGCCTCCTTCTCTATTGAAATTAGTATTGAAATAATACTAGTTTTTACGGAATTTATCGCGTATATTTTAAATTTTTAAATACCCGACGTTTCGAACGCTTTACAGCACTCATGGTCACGGGCAGGACTGAGATGTTCAACGTCCATATGTAATATTTAACCGCGGTTACCATAGATTAAAATTTAACTTTTGTTCCGATCTATGCAGTATGAACTTATGGTATCTTGAAGTCTTGCAGTTGTATGCTTGGGTTGGGATTTAATTTTATTTATTATAGGATCCCAAGCAGATGGCAGCACCCAGCCATCTTCTCTATTGAAATTAGGATGTTTTTTGATTTCAATAGCCTCGCGAATCATCCTTGGAAGGAATCGGTGTTCTTTAGCGAGGATCTGCGGTCTATCAAATCTGATGTAGTGACGGGGGCGATCCTGTACGTGTTCACAGACTGCAGACCTCCCGGAGCGTCGATTCTTCACATCAGCTATATGTTCTTTAACGCGGGTTTTTATTGATCTTTTAGTTTGTCCTATGTAGGAGAGACCACATTCACAATCAAGCTTGTACACTCCTACATCTTGCAGAGGGACATTACACTTGACCGATGGTAAAAACTGACCAATCTTCTTCAGCGGCTTGAAGTATGTTTTGATGGAAGCGCGCTTCAAGATGTAGCCAATCTTGTCAGTGACTCCTCTAACATATGGCAGTACAGCAGGTACACGCTCGACTGTGGCCGGCTTCACTCGTTCACTGTGACATAGGCGCGGGACTCGAAGCTTGTTGTCATGCAAAACTTGCTTGACATGGTGGAGCTCTGCAGCCAGGTGTTTACTGTCACAGATCCCTCGTGCTCTCTGAAACAAAGATTTACCCACGGTAGCTAACTGTGAAGGATGGTGGTGAGAATCACCGTTTAAATATCTATCTGTATGGGTCTTTTTTCTATACACAGTATGGCTCAAGGTGTTATCAGGTTGCAATTACACCCCGCAAATTACCGTACGAAGAAATTATCTGTAGTGTCGAGGACTGTTTATTTAAAAACAATATGCGGAAAGAAGATTTGGAGGCGATACGTCAAGACATCTCGTCTATGTTACGTCGATGTTCAGTGCCTAAACCGAATCTTCCCAAAGACGAATTTATAGCGTTGAAGAACCTACGACTACTTTACCTTTACTTGTAGAGGAATATGACACTTGACGGATGGTAGGAACTGACTAATCTTCTTCGGCGGCTTGTAGAATGTTCTAATAGAAGCTCGCTTCAAGATATAGCCAATCTTGTCTGTGACACCTCTGACATATGGTAGTACAGCAGGCACACGCTCGACTGTGGCCGGCTTCACTCGGTCACTGTGACGTAGGCGCGGGACCCGAAGCTTGTTGTCGTGCAGAACTTGCTTGACGTGCTGAAGCTCGGCGGCCAGGTGTTTGCTGTCACAGATCCCTCGTGTTCTCTGTAACAAAGATTTGCCCACGGTAAGCTAACTGTGAAGGATGGTGGTGAGATTCACCGTTTAAATATCGGTTTGTACGGGTCTTTTTCCTATACACAGTGTGACCAATGGTGTTATTAGGATTTCGGATGACTAACACATCTAGGAAAGGTGAGGAATTATTTGCCTCTAACTCCATAGTAAATTGAATTTTAGAGTTTATGGAATTAAGATGTTCTAAAAAATGCAGTTACTTTGTCTGATGGTAAAATTGTGAAAGTATCGTCTACGTACCGCTTGTAGATCCTTGGTGTAACAGGTGCAGTAAGGAGGGCTTTCTCCTCAAAGTCTTCCATCAATATATCGGCGACAATGAGAGATACAGGTGAGCCCATCGCAACACCATCTACTTGCTTGTAAAACTCTTCCTTCCACAATAGATAGCCAGATGTAAGGCAATGTTTTAGAAATACTGCATATTCTGCTGGCATGTTATTTTCCTCTAGTTTCCTAGTTATAATTGAGATGCAGTCTTCAACAGGTAGGCATGTAAATAGAGACTGAACATCAAAACTGACCATGGTTTCATTGTCAGTAAGATGTAGGTCTTTTATCTCACTGACAAAATGGTATGAATCCTTAGTGTGTGCTCTTGTGTGTCCTCTGAGTGGTGATAATATTTTAGCTAAGTATTGAGCCAATCTGTAAGTTGGCGAATCAATCTGACTCACTATTGGACGTAATGGAGCATTCGGTTTGTGTATTTTTGGTAACCCATAAAACTTCGGTGGTTTGGCACATGAAGGTTTTATCGAATTAACGTCCAGATTCAATTTCTCGGAGTATTTCTTAATTAGATCGCTAGTTGTTTTAAGCGAATTAGTTGTAGGGTCTGTTTTGACCTTTCGATAAGTAGTTTCATCCGACAAAAGTTGTTGTATTTTAAAATTGTAATCTGACGTATCCATTATTACCGTAGAATTACCTTTATCTGCGCGGAGAATCGTAAGCTCTGGTCTGTTGCGTAAGTTTTTCAACGCGTTAAATTCATTTTTGGGAAGATTTAATTTCGGCGCTGAACTTCGACGTAACATAGACGAGATGTCTTGACGTATGGCCTCTAAATCTTCATTACCAATATTATTTTTATACAGACAGTTCTCAACACTGCAGATAATGTCCTCATACGGTATTTTTCGCGGTTTTATGGCGAAATTAATAC